AAAAAAAATGCATTTATTCAAGGCTAATTTTGGATAAGCAGGTCTTTAGGGAATGCCTCACCCCACAACACAGCAGATGACAGAGCAGCAACACGCAGCTTTTCTTGGCCACAGCTCTCCATCCCCTTTTTGTAGGAGCAGTCCTCATCTCATCTCACATCTCTACCCTTGGCAAGTACTTCCTCTTCCCACCACGTAAACAACAGGTATAGAAATCCAGTTGGCTCACAGAATACAAAAATTTTAGACTTTTATATGTATATGAGGTATGAAATCCAGAAGAGTCAGGCTTGGTGGAACACACAATCCTGGCACTTGGTAGGCTGAGGCCGGATGATCTGGCGTTCAAGGCCAGCAAGAGACCCTGTGCACAAACATACACAAATAAAAGTGTCCACAAAAACCAAAAACAAACAAACAAAAATATAGCTCTCACCTCCCAAGGGAGAAGAGATGGCTTTATTTTGGAGTCAAATATGAGTGACTATAGCCCAAGAACAGAGATTTAGTTTACACCAAATTCCATGTTCTAACATGGTAAAACTTTGACGAAGTTTTTATAGTAACAGAACAAGGAAAGCCATAAATCAAGGCACTCTGTAAAGACACTGGTGAGAGCAGCAGGCAGGCAGCTACAGCAACGTGAGAAACCTCTACCGGGGCCTCGGAGCCCACTTGACAGCATTCTTAGCACTTTGATTGGCTGGAAACTAGTGGTCTGTTTATACATTCCAAAGAAAAACTAGAATTCTGTTTATACATTGCCAAGGATTTAGCTAATGGTCACAAAGACTTTAGGTTAAGTACAGAGGGGGCAACAAATGGCTACTAAGAGGGCTACAGTGGCTCCAAGAAAATGTGGGTATGGATTTGCAACATTCTAACCTCTCCACACGTCTGAAGTTCTAATCAGTGAACCTGCCTTGTAGAAGGTTCAGTGGAAATAGAGTTCTTTTCAGCAGCTTTCATTCACAAAAGTAAATGTGAGGAAGCAGATATGTCACAAGTTGGAAGAATGCATCTCCCTCTGCCCTGTTCCATAGACTCCCAAGCAGGGCACAATTCAGAAACTACCATTGAATAAGAACAGTTAGCTAAAACTGCTAATGGGAATGAGACATCTAATACAGCCAAACCCCATGTCTCCTGCATGGAAAACACCATCCACCCTCCTCCCTCACGGGTAAGGCAGCACAGCTGCCCATGAGACACCACCCCACACTGTCTGCTCTCCTACCTCAACTCTCTGTGTCAGTCAGTGGCTGCGATCATCAACTCTGAAGGGCTGGGCAGTGGTGAAAGGAAGGAATATAACACACTGCACAACAGCTTTTAATAAAATGGTTTTCTGTTTCAGAGTCCCCTTTAGACTCTGGAACACAAGTGAATGAGAGGGTTCCTGGACATAGCCTAGCTCCTAAGCTGACCATATGGACAGCCTTGGGGCAAACACAGAGCTCTAAAGATCCTGTGCCAGACAGACCTCAGGCCAAGCCAGCACCCACTGCTCAATCCTCCTCCACTTGGACTGCAGAAGCTGAAAAGCCCACGTCCACTTTGCTCTCCCCCTTAATGCTGGGGATGGCCATGTGACACAAAACATGAATGGAATTCTATTGGGGGGGGGGTTCTGGGAAATTTCTTGCTTTCCAGATAAAAGGACTCATTTGTGCTGCTCCTGTTGCTTCTGTCTTGAATGGAGATGTAGATCTGAAGGAAGACGCAGTAGCCATCTAGCAACCATAAGATCACAAGCAGGAAGAAAAGGCCAAGAGAAGCACTGAGATGCTGTCAGAGCTCTTGTACCAGTTTGGTCCCAGCAACTGGTTCCCATTATGTGGGAAAAGTAACTTCCTCTTGTTTAAACCACCACAACTTGGGTTTTCAGTTGCTTGCAGCTGAAAGCATTCTTAGTTGGTCCAATGTCTCATCCTTATCCACACAGCCGGGCTTCTTCACTAATTCATGACAATTATACCAGGTTTTCAAGGGTCCTTCCTATTTCATTGGATCTTTAGGAATCTGGACCAAATTTTCCAAGCTCCTATATTTTTCCCTCTCCACTCAAGTGTCTGATGGCCATCTCAGACTCAAAGAACTACCTCTTCCCATGAGGACTACCTCTTCCTATTGGGATTACCTCTACCCAGGAAGACTACCTCTATCCAAGAGAGTGGTCTAACCCTGAATGTTCCATCAAGTCAGGTCTTCCTGGATGCTACCGCTACCTGCATCCTCTCATCCAATAGCTCACCAAGCTCGGGGGATTCTGCCTCTGAGTACTTTTCTAATCCCCTACTTCTTCTAGCTAAGTCTAGATTCTGCATGTTGGGACCACTGCAAAAGCATTTGGACTGGTGCCTGAAGCCACAACTATCTACTCCATAATGTTCTTATGAAAACAAAATTCTGGGGACTACCGAGATGGCTCCATGGTTAAGAGTGCTTTCTGCTCTTGACTCTGGGTGGCTCACAACCATCTGTAACGTCAGTTCCATGAGACCCAGAACTTCTGGCCTCCCCAGGCACTTGTACTCACATGCACATGATTTTAAAACTATATGTAAATCTTAAAACAAAAAACAAAAGAACTACCTTATGGTTCTGACATTACTCCCTTCTTTACAATATTTCATTATTTCATATGGTTCCTGTGCTGAAGCCAAAATTTGTCAGACTTGATCCAGCCCCTAATCACCTCTCCAGACCTACTTTGAGTTCTCCCATGTGACTCTCAAGTTTAACTGGCAATGTTCATCTCTTAGCTTCTCAACCCCCAGCACACATCTATCTGCTAGTGCCATTCAATATGTGTTCCCAATACAAGGTGGGGCTGTCATGAGGAAGTGTCCTCACAACACAATGTTGGCTTTATGATCTGTTCCACTCTTCCTTGTCTCTCTGCAGCCCAAACACTGAAGCTTTCATTTCCAGTTGGTTCACTGTTATGGGTGGTTTCTGTTCTCCTGAAATTCAGTGATCATCTTTTCTTTTTAAGTCCTGTTCATTTATATAACAAATGCCTTGGTTTTATAAACTAACTTCAACCCCTTGGTCCATGTCTAAACTTTTTTTTTTTTTAATTAAAGGTCACAGTATTCTGCTTTAAAAAAAAAAAAAGATGTAGTAATTTTTATTACATGCTGGGTACTGCAGATGACACCCTACAAGGGCACTGGATCATGCTTGACCCCCTTTGGGTCTATTTTGTTCTAGAAGTTCTATTTGAGTCTCTCAGAGGCTTACTTTTAATCTTCAGTAAGGCCACTCTAGTCTGTTTTTATCCTCAGTCCTAGGGTGTTTTCCATGCTTTCAAACATGGCCTTTGGAGATTCAATGCCTCTCTTAGCCAGGCATAATCCAAGGGTTTCCATGTGCCACACAGCCCTGGGTCTGCTCTGCTCTCCTACCAGAGCCACTGCCTGGGCCAGCATCATGGACTCTCCCTCTTCTCCCAATTTTCAGTGCCGACCTCCTAAGAGCTTTTTCAATAAATCTGCACAGGAGTTCAGCAAGAACCAAGAGTTACCATGGCAACTCAGCATTTCTGCTGAACAGTTGAAAATTCACAGCTGACAGTTTAAAGAACAATGCCTCTGGTGCCAGGCTATTACATTACCAACTCAAAGCAGAGGTCAAAACACAGGCGCTAACCAGGTGGCCTTCCAACACTGCCATTAGAATTGCATGGCAGGTCAGGGAGGGGAATGGCACCCCTCCTTTCCAATATGCCATCAGAGAGTTTCTGGAGGGCTGGAGGGACAAGGTGGATCTGAGGCTAGCAGAGAGGACCTATGCAGAGAGCTACACTCAGCTTTGCTTTCCTCCAGGCATTGACTAATAAGCTCCTTTGAACCTTTTCCAGATCCATGCCCAGGATCAGCTGTATAAAAATGAACTAAAAAAAAAAAAAAAAAAATGAGCCTCACTGCAGACAGTCTTTAGAGGGAGGACAATGAGGGTCTGCTGAGCTGATGGGACATGGTTTGGGTTTGGCCCAGAATGTGGAAATCAGAAGTTGCCTAGAACTCTGTGCTTTCTCTGTACATGAGCCCTGTACATAATATCCAACCCCAGTTATCTGCAGATAAGTCATAGACTTTGTCTGGGCATGCCATGGGTTGCCTTTGAGACTTAAGTCAAAATAGAAGCACTGAGTATTACATAGAAGCACTGAGTATTACACACATATAGAACTCATGACTTTGTCCAGGCCACTATGACTTAGTAAGCAATTCTGCTTCTACTGTTGGCTTTGTCTTGAATCTCTGAAAACAGAAATCAGCCAGAAGGTACTTGAACCATCATCAGGTCTAATCACTCATCTCGCTCACCAGGAAACTGAGACCTAGGGTAGCCTTCACAATTGATCAGAGATATATCAGAGTCACCTCTGGAGCTCTGGACTTGGCCCAGCTCATTCCTACCCTGTCCTTCCCTCCTAGAGACCAGCCAGCTCTTCACTTCTAGGTCACTATAAGCAATAGTGCAGTGAAACTAGAACTCAAGCCCTCTGTAGCATCACAAAGACTCATTACTCTTTTCCTTCTTGGATGCATAATTACAGAGTTACTGTTGCTTTGTGACAGCTCAGCAAACAATGACCTGGAATGAGCTCTCGGTGCCTTTCTTGTTAAAACTTCAAGACCCTTGCCCACCACCCTGTATGTGAACACTGAGGCTCTCTGCCTCCTATCTCTAAAGGCTCTGCTTAGGCTCCTTCAACAGAACTGCCCACATATTGGGCATTACTGAGAGTCTCTTACCACCACTTACCTTTGCATATGCAGTTGTCTTAATGAACCACTGTCGGAGGTATTTCTTCTCCACCTTGGCTCCAGAACGCCATGAACAGCCATATTCATTCACTTGCTCATTGGCCAGCACTGTTTGATCCACTGGATCCCAGTTAACCAAAGCCTGTTAGGACACAGGAGACAGAGGGGTACACTGTGGTGAATGCCCTGTGGAGGTGCCCTTGGAAAACAAAGTTGTAATGGAACAGTGTGGCTCCAAGCCTGAGGGCATCTTTAGGGTGGGCTGCCTGGTGAATGGGCCACTAGCAAGCTGTGACAAGGACACATGAAATGCCCTTGTTAGAGTAGACTTGAGGAAGATGGAAGTCTTTGAGCATATGTCTTAACTCAACTTTAGGTTTTTCTTGAATGACAGGATGGACATTCAGGATTTGAAATTTTAGAACACTTTGGAAAAGAAGAAAAAAATGGTATCTATTTGAAGTTTAGAAGAAAAGGGTTACTTCAGAAGAAATAAATATACTGATTTTAATAACAACACTAACTTTTACTGAGTGGTAACCAGGTGATGGTTCCCACGTTAAGTGGTTTACAGCTAAGTGGTTGTCTAGCTCAGGCTTAGCTTGAGTACTCCTGCCTCAGTCTTCTGAGAGCCAGGATTACAGTTGTGTGCCATCACCCTTGGCTTATATGTGGCCCTTTAATTCTCACAACCAGCTTTGTGGTAAGAAGACTCTTACCCTCAGAGAATCATATCACAGAGAATGAATATGAGGAGTAAAGAAGCAATATAGCATACCTAAGGTCTCAGAGACACTGACAGAAAGGGGAGGAATTCCAGTCTATGTTTAAAGACTGCAGTTTAATGTGTATTATATAGAAAGCAGACAAGTCTTAAGTGAACAATTAATGAATTTTTAAATGAGTAAACATGTAACCACTATCCATGTCAAAATAGAGAACATTTTCAGCACCTCAAGAAAACTGCTTTGCTTTTTGCCTTCAACACTGTACCCCAAGGTAATCACTCTGAGTCCTACTCCATAGATTCACTTGGCTGGAAAAACACATGGTCCTAACCATGAGGAAGACTCTCTCAAGTTCCTGATAGTTTCTGTCTTTGTTTAAAACAAATACTTCTGCCTACACTTACTACAGTGAACATTCAGGTACCTCCTGGTAAAAGGACTGAGTACAGAGGAGTCTAAGGGTTGTACTACCTGATTTAAGATATTTTGCTTAAAAATTTAATGGTAGACTATGTGCAATTCCTCAGTACCAAAAAGTATTCCTAGTAATTCCCATCAGAAATTGTGCTAGCAACTGCCTCACAGATCCTTCTTCCTTCCTGTTTACAGTCTGCATCCACCTCAAGTCTGGTCTGCAGGCTGGTTTGCCTTCTGTAAGGAACTCTGGTGGGCTGTGGGAGGTGCTACTAAAGGCTACAACACTGTCAGACAGCCTCTCCTGCTTGGTCAGGGACCCAACACTGCCCTCTAGCCTGTGCTAGAGGTATCCTTACTTTCCACCCCTTTGAGACAGTGCTAAAGTCAGCACAGTTAGCCCTTTATTATAGTCTCTTCAGTGGCTCTTTCAAGATATGCTGGAACCTGACTAGTTCTGGATATTTTCCACATCAGCATAAAAATCAGGGTGGTGAGAGGTTAGCTAATCCATGAGTTATAATCTAGATTATGATTTTATAATAGTATAAATATACTATTATATTAGTAAGTAGTAAGTTACTAATATACTAAATAGTAAGTAGTATAGTTAACCAAAAACTTGAAGCTATGCCATCTGGAATCAGACAGAAAGAGGAGCATGGAACAGTTTATCTCCTCTAACACAGGGTCCCCAAGTCTTCCCCTCATAATTTTATAGAGATGACCAAGATATTAAGTAACTAGGACCTAAAATTTTTAGGTTCATAAACCAAAGAAGATTGGCCCATCTATTATTATCACTAATATCAGACAGATTGAAGGAAAAGTTTTACTTAGTAGGTATAAAAAATAGTTTTATTTTTGGTAGTGCTAGGTCTTCTGCAGATGAGTCTATGAACTTGAGACTGCACTCATCTTTACCAGTATATGCAAACAAACAGGATTTTCTTTCTTTCTCATGTAAAAGTTATGATATTCTCTCTCTCTCTCTCTCTCTCTCTCTCTCTCTCTCTCTCTCTCTCTCTCTCTCTCTCCCTCCCTCCCTCCCTCCCTCCCTCAGTATTTTTGGGACAGGGTCTCAGTATGTAGCTCTGGCTGTCCTGGAGCTTGAACTCACCAAGATTCACCTGCCTCTACCTCTCCAGTGTTAGCATTAAAGGTGTGTGCCACCACACCTGGCTAAAAGTGATGATTCTAAGATGGAGAGAATTTATAAAAATTCAAAAGGGTAGCTAACATGAATTTACCTCCCTTTGATAGGCCAGACCAGCTTCGTAGAGTTTGATAAACAGGTATTGAGTCCATTTGTAGTAATCTGGCAAACAGGTAGTGATTTCCTGCCAAAAAAGGAAGAGGCAATAAATACACAGTCCGGCCCTGAAGCACTCCACCACACATACCACAGCTTTGAGACTCAGTTCTTAAAAGCAATTAAATTGCAAAGTATTTACCAACCTATTTCCACTAACTCTCAAAGTGAGGGAACAGCCATTTATTCTGGGAAGAAAGAGCTGATGTTATTGGAATGTCTTCCCCACCTTTCCTAGACATGTTCAATGATAACAGACTCTCAAGTCATTTGCCTATCACCCATGACTAACAAGTTACAGTTCAGAAAACAGCTATGAACTTTTTTTAAAAAAGATTTTATTTTTACTTTAAATTGTATGTGTGGGTATGGGGTATATGCACATGAGTGCCATTGTTGACAGAGGCCAGAAGAGGTTGTCAAATCCCCTGGAACTAGAGTTAACAGATAGCTGTGAGATGTCAGATACGGGTGTTGGAAACTGAACTTGGGTCCTCAAGAACAGCAGCAAGTGCTCTTAACTACTGAGCTTTCCAATCTACCTATTGAACATTTTGGCCAGGATAAACACATGCTGGGGACCAAGAATATAGCTCATCTGAAAAGCAATTATAAATGTCAAGAGTATTTGTTCAGTGTGATGTAATTCTCATTTCAAACTAAATCCTGTGTCTACATAGAACCTAGGGTCTGATAGTTTTCATAGCCTCATTATTTTCCCTTTATTGTATAATATGAATCAAATATGGGGAGATTAATCAAAAGTTCCTAAAGTTTACTTTCTGCCTGAAAAACACATTTAATATAGAATTTTTAAAATGGACCTTGACAAACTGACGAGGTTTGAAGTTGGTAAAGTCAAACCAGATTATAACCGCCATGTACTTCTTTTTTCTATTGAACTTTAAAAAGCATAAATGAAGTGGATACAGGGCTGTGTGTCCCTTAGTAGTAGAGTGCTTCCCTAGCAACCCCGAGGCCTTGAAGTTAATCCTCAGCACTGCCATAGGTGGAAAAAGAGAAAAGGGGTTGCTGTGAAGCAATCTTCGTACACTGTAAATATGTATTACTCGCATTGGTTAATAAAAAGCTGAATGGCCTATAGCAGGACAAGCAAGCCAGACAAGGAGGATGCTGAAAAGAAAAAGAGAGGAGTCTTGAGAGTTGACAGCTAGACACAGAGGAAACAGGACATGTACACAACGAGGTAATAAGCCATGAGCCACGTGGTAGAACTTAGATAAGAGATATGGGTTCATTTAAGTTATAAGAGCTAGTTTGTAATAAGCCCGAGCTATCGGCTGAGTGTTTATAATTAATATTGAGTCTCCCTGTCAGTTATTTGGGAACTGGAGGGTGGGAAGGAAAAGTCCGCCTACAGGGGGTAACAGGAAAGTGTGTCTCAAATGGCTCCATTTGTAGTTGACTTTCAAGGAAAGGTAGGTATACTTTATCCCAAATGCAGAGCACTTCTGTATTCCTTAAGATGAACAAGTGAGGAAAGCTTCAAACCCAGGTGGAAGACAGGTATAGTAGGAAGCAGTAATCTAAAAGGGTTGCCTTTCTTATGCTAGATTTATTCGCTCACTCCTTTTGAGACAGGATCTCATGTATTCCAGGTTAGCCTCAAACTCTGAATTTCTGATCTACCTGCTTCTATCTCTTGAGTGCAGAGATCACAGGCACATGCCACTTACTACACCTGAACTGTGTGCTGCTGGAGATCTAACCCAGGGCTTCCTGCATGTTAGGCAAGCATTTTACCAACTGAGTTGCATTCCTAGCTTTCCTTGGTTGTTTTATATGCTGTTTTGTTATTGTTGTTTTAAATAACAGAGTGCTAATATGAAAAAACAAAACTTTGGCGTGGTAATAGAAATCAAACCCAACGACTCAGGCATGCTAATAAGTGCTCTAACATGGAGCTATAACCCCAGCCCAGAAAACAGTTTTTTAAAATGCAGAACAGGGATTAGAGAGAATCAGCTCAGTAAGAGAACTGTCTGTTCTTCCAGGTCCTGAGTTCAATTCCCAGCACCCACATGGCAGCTCAGAACTGTTTATATCTGTAGTCTCAGGGAATCCGATGCCCTTGAGTAGTGTGCGGACATAAATGCAAACAAAATACACATATACATAAAATAAATAAATGAATCTTTTTTAAAGGTGCAGAATAACTCAACTCTGACCACCATTTCTATCTCCTCATGATAAGACATATTGACTAGCCAATCAAATGGTGGTCCCCAGCAGCCTGACCCCCACAATACCTAAGCTGTGGTTTCTCTGCCACATACATGAATCACCAGCTCCCAGGGACTCCATAGACACCTGGTATACAGGGGTGCCAGGCATGAGGAACTCTACCAGCTCAAGAATCAGACTAACTGACAAGGAGTAGCTTGCCTCTCCAAATCAACTTTATCAATACTAATGCTGACTTTTCAACCTTGACCTGCTAGCATGGCACAGAATCATTCTCTTTAGTTTTCTAGTCAAGTATCTTTAAAATTTCCATTTTTAACAAACATGTCAGGAGCCATCTTCTATTTTGTTTTACTCATCATTTTATGCTCTCTAACACTGAGGTACCCCAAAAATGCTGCTGAATTAAGAATAAGTTAGACATGTAAAAGTCTGTATGCAAATTTGTATACCTCATTTAAGTTTCATAGTTAAATTCTCATTGCATCGAGGTCACAAATACACAAAGAAAATAGATTGAATTGAAGGGTAGGGTGGGTGAGGATTATGGGAAAATTTTCTTAGACCTTGCTATTGTAGAAATATCTTTTTTTAAAAAAATCTTTATCCACTATAGTTTTAAAGAAGTATGTAAAGCAAATAAGAAAAAATGAAACTAGCGATGGGACCCATTAACAGCTTATTTTGTGTGTATTTGAGTTGCTCATAATAAAATATCAAAATCTTTCCAATGAATACATTATAATAAAATATAACATGAATTATAAAGAATATGCATTATAATGAGAGTATTTTATAATGAATTGTTTTATAATACACTCTCTACGCCCCTGGATCTGCTTCCAGACACTGAATAAAAGTCACATAGCAATAGAACAGCATTATCTTCAACTAGGTTTGTGGTTTTAGAAATCAGTTTTACCTGAAGTAGAAAAGCAAGGGTTGAGTAAGTGGAGAGAGAGAGATCTTTACCTAGCCAACCATTCACCTATATTCCTTTTGGGCATCATCAGCTAAGATGAAAGAGGGGTGCGGAGTTTGGGCCCCACTTTTTTCCCTAACTTCACATCTGGACTTGACCTGTTCTACTGTTGCTTCTGCGTCTGTTTCCATCTGTAGGAAACATAATGTTAGCTGCTGATGGTCAGGGCCACTGCTGTACCCAAGGAGGCTAGGCCTGAGGAGAGTACTGTGTTCTCCATGCTAAACCTACCTACCATGATAGTCCAGCTTTCTTACTAAGTCAAGTAATGTACATTTTGAGAGTCACACATCCTTTCTGGAACCTTCCATGATCAGCCCATTAGGAACAGAATAAAATGAAAACAGTGAATTCTAGTCTTCTAAAATCATCAAAGGCATTTTTTGAAATTACATCACTTAAAAGCTTTTAGTTTAGCCAAATGATTAAAAAACAAAACCCTCTTTTCATGTGTTCACTGCGAACTACTTATTCAAAACATAGTTCTTCAGTCAAGAGACCATAGGACTTAACACCCATGAAAATATTAACAGTCTCCCCTCTCTCTAAGGCAGAAACTCTGCTCTCTGATGATTACTTGGCTAGAAACAATTCTTTGTCACCACTGAGTGTTCACATGTGCGCTCGTGTGTGTGTGTGTGTGTGTGTGTGTGTGTGTGTGTGTGTGGGTTAGCGCGCGCGCGCGCGCGCGCGCGCGCACCTTGAGTGAGCTTAGGTGCCTACCATCTAGTGGGCGTATGTTTTAACACTACAGAGTTAACATAAAAGACAGTCCCCTGGCCGGGCGGTGGTGGCACACACCTTTAATCCCAGCACTCGGGAGGCAGAACCAGGCAGATCTCTGTGAATTCCAGGCCAGCCTGGACTACCAAGTGAGATCCAGGACAGGCACCAAAACTACACAGAGAAACCCTGTTTCGAAAAACAAAAAAAAAAAAAAAAAAAAAAAAAAGGAAAAAAAGAACCCCCCCCCCCAAAAAAAAAGACAGTCCCTTCAACTTATTCAGCTATACATGGGTTGCATTTTCTGTGTTTTGAGATAGAATCTTGTATGTAACCCAGGCTGGTCTTACACTCAGGGCAATCTTCCTGTCTCACCCTCTCAAGTGTTAGGTTTACAGAGGTGAGGCACCATACACTCTTTTTAGCTTTAAACGCTAATAGAGCAATCTTGATCCAAGTTTTTATATTATTTCAATTTTAGTCTGAAGCCACAAGCAGATCAAAGGAACATTAACGAGGCAACTCTCTAGTAGGTGGTCCATAAGAAGTAACAAAGGAAATTAAATATCATCTCCTGGGGCTAGTCTATTTACTTAGTTTCCCTCCTCTGTCAGATTTGGTCCCTCCGCTGAACACAGCTGGCAAAGCGCCAGAAACCTTTGCCTGCTAGGGACAATTGATGTATTTTAGCATCTAGAGTTTAAATGACTGAATATGCCCCCAAGTGGTGGTCTGACTTAGAAAATCTCATGTAATAAGTTTATGTAATAAATGTTTCTATTTTGAAGTCAGAGAGACATATGGGATATACTGGTTTGTCCCCCAATAAAACAGTTATCAACACACAGAAGTATTTAAAGATCACCCTTGGAATCTAGCCCATGAACCCAAATATTCAGATTCAACCACATCTGCAGGACCCACTCAGACACCTTCTATCTGTGGGGTGGGGCTCCCTTCCATCCTCATCTGCCCACAGGCACAGAAGGCACAGTTTGGTAAGACTTCTTGATGAGACCACAGAAAAAGCAAACAGGGCTGACTGTCCCCATGTCCCCCAACATTTCTGAACCTTACTTTTCCCTGCTTAAATGAGTTCACACAGCTGGAGAGCTGGC